AGTAAGGGGTGGTTCTTCTAAACATGTGACTGAAAGTCACTGTCAGAATGAAGAGATACTTAAAAGCTTAAGCAGAGAGAAGGGAATCTCAAAAGAAAGTTTCGGATGATCCATCAACTGCAGAATGCCAATGAAATTTTCCATGGCTCTCTAAATGCCTTCCCATTAGATGTCTGAAATGAAATGGTGGTGGTAACACTGTGCAAAAAAACAGCTCACCTCTGGCAGAAGGCATTCTAGCCACAACTGAGCATACCTACCTTCATAGAGAGAAACTAGAGATAATCAGTGTATGTCGATAGCAAAGTCCCTGCAACTCCCTGCTGTAGGAAGAAAAGTAATCTTTATGGTAGAAAACTGGCAAATTTTTTTTGTGGAAAAAAGGCAATTTTCTGAGGAACCTGAATCTGCAGAGAAAATAAGGAAAAGGTCCTTCTGGTATCAAAGATATAAATTAAATAGACATATCCACAGACACCCAAGGCTTACTAAGTAACATGGCAAGATTATTCTCTTGACTGGACTCAAACACATTTTAGGGGGAAAAAAACTCCCTAGGGTAACTACGAAAAGACCTCATTTCAGAAAAAGAAAAAAAAAAGCTGTCTATGGTGGACTTTTGAGGTAGAAGGCTTTAATCATCCCTATATGCCTGAGGTACACAGTTGTAAAAATTGTCCATTTCCAAGGAGCTTACTGAAAGTTCTATAAAACTCCTGACAGATGAGATTAGATCCCATCAAAGAACCAGCCCTTGAATGAAGACATTCAAATCCATCCACAAACTGCAGAGTGTGAAAGCAGAAGTCAAAACAGCTGTAACGAGTGGGCAAACTTTCACAGAATTAAGGACAAACCATCACCTTTCAGTTTCAAGCAGACATCCTGTGACAGTCAGAATCCAAAGAAGCACAACACAGTGAAAATCTGGCCAACTTAGCAGTCTATATCTGATTCACAGACACTTTTTCTGGAACTATTATGAACCAGAGAAGAACATGAAAGATGTATTGCAGAGAATCATGCACCCTCTACACTCCAGCAGCTGCAAAAGGGATTCAAAACTCCATCCCAGACTTCTTGAGAAAGACCTCCTACTATTAGAACTGGTAGAAACAAGTCTGTTAGAATGGCCCCATTTGTGGAAGAGCTCTCGTAGGACACAAGAAATGATCTCCTACTTGCTGTCCAGGCTGCAGTCCTGCTAGTTTCATTCTCAAAGGGAGGAACTATGCAAATCCGTGAAGGGTAAAAGAACCCACCACCCAAACAACCAATCCTTACCCCAAACTTTTTAACACTGCTTATCCACAATTTAATACATCCTTACAAAGCAGGAGACAACCAAGTTCTCCCCTACTTATTTACAAAGTAGCAAGATGTATATGAGATTCCCAAAAGAATGGGATAAGAACAACATACATACTTTGTGGATCATGGCAAAATGCAGGTGTGGAGGCAAAGCGAGTAATGGTTACTGCTCCTAAGCCACGTAATTAATAGGGTAACAATCACCCAAGTAGGTAAGGAAAAATGAAGAGGCATGCTAAGGAGGAAAAGAATTGATGGTCACAGAAACTATTACCAGTCAAATAACTGGCATTTATATACACAAAATCAGGCCAAAACTAAAAATCAAAAAATATCACAGTGGTGTTTCTGGCACCAAACTACTCTGCTGTACAACAGGCTGCTGATGTCAACATGCACTGAACAGAGTCCCGGTGGAGCAAGTCTCTCCACAGGGAAGTTCCCTTCTGCAGTTGGGAGTCTGCCATAACAGCTCACACTCACAAACAAGAAAGCCGCCAATGCTTAGCTCAGACACAATGGCACGTGACACAGCTTCTGTGCTTCCCATGCAGACTGTATTCTGCAAACACAGACAGAATGATTTTTGCCTGAGCAAGACAAACGTTGTGGTACAAACTGTTAAATTATTACTTCCGCGTCTAGATTTGTCATGGCATTGAATGAAAAGTTATCACTCTTAAAAGCTGTCTCAGAAAAAAAAACTAAAGTTGCCTGGAAAGGAAAAGTCATCTGCAGTCAGTGGTGGCTGCAAGGGAAGGAAAAAGTGACTCACTTACTAGTTTTTCCTCTATGATTAGATGATTTCAAGAACAAAATATAACACCCAGACTGAACAGTGGCCAGGTGGTAAAGGAAGCAACCTGAACACGCTCAGTCTTGATTATCCAAATGAGACTATTTACCTACTGCAATATGCCAGAATTGCATATGAACACACAACCCCATCATACAGAGCCAAGAGCTCAGGGCTGCCTACTCAGAAGTCAAATTACACAATGTTTCCATTCATCTTATCTTTAAAATACATACCGCATTAGGCACATCATAAGCAACTCCTTTTCCAAAAACTGGTGTGGTTAACCGAGAGTATACATCCTCTGCATTCAAATCTTCATTTTTACTGTTGAACAGTAGAGCAGCAGCATCACTACCCAGTAAGTACGTGAACGTCTTGCCAACCATAGTGAAACTGAACACAGGTCCATACTTAGAGAGAAAAATAAAAAAAAAAAATTATTTTAAATAAGAAGAACACAAATCATTAAATCCCTATCTCTATGTACAGTCTTCCATAATAAATTACTTTCTCTCCTAAGAAGTGGATCCACAGATCCACAGATTTAATAAAGATATAAATACTTTAAACCACATTTAAATTCTGTGCTCAATATACTTACTAGTGATATCTAATGTTATAATGAACATATGTGATCTTGCACATTTTGAAACCATTTAAAAAACATAAATAAAAGATCAGTGACAGTACAAAAACTAGCAGGGAGATGACAGCATATACTGCCTCTGGTAATCTACAAACACTGTCTCAAAAAAATCTGGATTTGGAGTTATGCATAGGTAATTAAGAGCAAATAAGGTTTTAAAATTTAAAAGTCATCTCCAGCAAACCTTCATGCAGAATCTAATTAAATTGGAATTAAGGCTCTACTCACTTAGTTAATTTCTTTTGGGCTGTTATAGTATAAAAACTACTAAGGTTTACCAGCCCTTTTAACATTGGCAAGGCCTTAAAATTCATCAAGTTGCCTCAGAGGTGGTCAGCTACATTCCAGTCTGGTCACAGATTAGTAAAGAATGTGATTAAAAGATATTAAGGCAGAAAATAATGTCATTAAAATGGCTTTTTAATTAACTTGTGATCCAGCTATGAGTATTACCCAAATATACAAACATATTTTTTACATGTAAATCACAAGAGAGCTCAGAAAACACTGCTTCTCTAACAACAATGTATATAAAGAGATCTGAAGATACCAGAGCCTACTGTGCACACTCTGTTCTATATTCAAGGTGGTAAGTGAGAATGAACTGATTTTAAACAGGCTCCAGAGAGAGAACTTGATAGATACACAAAAATATTTTAGCATATGCTCAGCCAGTCATGGGGGAAAACATACTTTGTCATAAGCATTTTCCAAAAATTCAATGGGACTTTTTCCAAATGCGATTGCATGTCCAAGGAAAGGGATGCCTGATGAAATAAAAGGTGGGTATTTCTGAGGAAGAAAAAGAAAAATAATTATTGAATTTTCTTCAGAGAGTATTGCAGAATCATGGAATAACAGAATATTCTGAGTTGGAAGGGACCCACAAGGATCGAAGTCCAACTCCTGGCCCTACACAGAACAGCCCCAAGAGTCACACCATGTGCCTGAGAGCATTGTCCAAACGCTTCTGGAACTGTGGCAGGCTTGGTGCTCTGACCACTTCCCTGGCATGTCCCAGTGCCCAGAAGTAATAAAATAATGCCTATTTATATAAAAACTAACCACAGAGGACGTTTTATACATGTTTGTTTAAACTCTTTTGTGAAAAGGTCAACATTGGACAGCTGATTATTTTTTCAAATTGAGCCGCATTTGAAAGCAGCAAGGATTAAAATAAAGTGAATACGATTAAGATTCTTGTATGCTGCCTCTAAAAGATACTGCAACTGAAAAGAAGGCACTCACAAAACAGTGCTGACAATTGGTTAAACAGCGTCCCAAAAGCACACAGCTTCAGGTTACGAATGGGTTTCGCAGATAAACGGGCGCCTTCTTTTAAGCTCCATCGATAAAACAGCATCGGGAACGGCCTTTGCCTCTCCAAGGTCTGAGCGCCTCCGCCTCCCGCGGTACCAACCAGCGGGGCCGAGGGTGAAGCCACAGCCACTCCTGCCAGAAACCGCCCTGGGGCTGCTGCTGGAAACGCTCCTCGCCTTCCTGAGGCGGTTCCCACACACTTGGATTCCAAGACCCCTTCCCCTGCGCTCCCAAGAAGGGCAGTCCCGAGGTGAGCGCCTCTCTCCTCCCCCGCCCGCACCCTAAAAGGACAGCGCCCGGCTCTCCTGCCCCGCTCCCCGGCGCTGCCCCGCAGGGACCACCCTTCGTGGGAGAGCGGCGGAGCCCGCCGGGTCCCCTGCCCGGCCCATCGCCTCTCCCTGGGCCCACCGCCCCCAGCCCTTACCTTCTGGTCGGCTCCAAGGTGGCGCCGGTACCCCAGCTGGAACAGGTACCCGAGGCTGAGCGCGAAGGCGGAGGCTGCCAGCACCAGGGAAAGGGGATTGCCGACGGCCACCCGCTCCAGCAGGGACCCGCCGACCTCCATCAGGCTCAGCATCTCCTCGGCCACCCGCGCCATCCGCCGGGGCTCCGCTCGGCTCGGCTCGGCGCCGCGGGGCAGGCCAGGGCGGAGCAGGGTGGCCCCGCCCCCGGCGCTGGGCTGATCCGAGCCCGGGTGACGATTCCCGGCGCTGGGCTGATCTCTGCCCATGTGACGATTCCCGGCGCCGGAGCCAACCCGCGGCCGCGCCGGGCGGGGTGACGGCGTCGCCCGGGCTGCGCCGGGCGCCATTGGGCGGGGGCCGGGCGGGGGCCGGGCCGCGGGAATGGGGGGCGGCCCCCGCGCCCAGCGGCGCCAAAGGGGGTGTGCCGAGGGGGTGTGTAACCTCCGACAGCCAGAGAACACGGTCCTACGGCCGTGTGCCGGCGCTGCAGGGGAGCGTCACCGCCGGCGTCCCCCCGACAGTCCAGTGCGCTGGTTCGTAAGGCAGCACAGCACGCGGAGGAGGAGGACAGGTCGTTTGTGTTTAATTGTAGATGCCCCAAATCTTTAATGTCAGAAAATCCGGGTACTGCTTCTGAAATAAGAGTTGCCACTAAGATCTAAGAGTTTTAAGATCAAATAGTGCACATAGTGCATTTGGGAACTGAGAGAGCTCGTCGCTGCCGAGGTCAGGTCTGGTTGTCCGTATACAATTTTCTTCATTCAAAAGGAATGTATCTTAATACATTTCCAGAAAAATCTGTTATAGAGAGGTCTTTTAAAGGCAGAGTTTGTTCATCCAGTGAGTCCAGTCAGTTTCTACTTAAAAAAAAATTCCTTTACATTTGTAAATCTGGGAATATTGGCAGGAAGCTGGGTTCATTATAATGTACGAGACATTTCGACAGGCTATAGTTGCGAAGTTTACTTGTAATGCTTTTAAATAATTTTTTTGCAAAGTTCAGAAACCTAAATTTTAGTTTTGTCAACTGGAAAAGATGCTCTGGTAAAAACATAAACGTCTTGTTACTGACCGAACACTCTTTAATTTCTTAAAGTGTGTAATCTCCTTTAGTAAACCCTGAATCAAGGTCTCACCTGTGCTGAGTTTTGCTAGCTGTGGGAGGTAGCAGAGAATGCTTTGGAATGCTGAGATGGGTGTGGAATCAGTTAAGTACCTTCAAACTCTTCATATCAGCCACGGGATCTAGTACAGTTTTCAATTTGTTGCTTGCAAGATCTGAAGTTTCAACACTTTCTGATGCAAACAGAAATCCATCAGTGCTGTAGTTCTGAAAGAGTTACTTAATATTTACAATTCCTTCAGGAGACATGACAGATGTCACTGGTTGTCACTGACATTCTGTACTCCTGGTTTATGAAGTAAGGATGTTTCTGGTGGCAACAGTGTCAGTCTACTTTTCCAAGGAACAGGATTTCCAGATTAATTACCTGTATTTGAATGCAATGGTTTTATTTCATTATTGTGTAATTGTTCCACCTGCAACTCCTAGAACGCATCCATCAACGCTGCCTCCGTACAATCCTAAACATCCACTGGTCAGATTATGTGACCAATACGTCTGTTCTAGAACAAGCAGCAGTCACAAGTATAGAGGCCATGTTACTGAGAACACAGCTGCGATGGGCAGGGCACGTCTCAAGGATGAAGGACCACCGCCTCCCTAAGATCGTGCTCTGTGGTGAACTTGCCACTGGCTGCCACAAGAGAGGAGCCCCCAAGAAAAGATACAAGGACTCCCTGAAACAACATCTCAGCCTTGGCCATATTGATCAACATAACTGGTCTACTCTGACCTCCAGTCGGGAGGTCTGGAGACACACCATCTATAATGCTGCTGCTTCCTTTGAGAACGCATGCAGGATCACTCTCGAGGAGAAAAGACAACGCAGAAAGAATCGTGTCTTGCAGAATTTACCACCTAAGGAGTCTTTCTGCTGTGCATTTTGCAGACGGACATGCCTGTCTCGTATTGGCCTTTTTTGCCACCAGTGCGCTTGTAACGAATGTGGGTAGAGCCCCTCCCAAATCTTCGTTCGCAAAGCCCAGCCATGATGTTGTGTAATTGTTATATTAATTATATTTCAACTTATTATATCTTTACCCCACATTAATAATGATTCTTTAAGGTAAAGGAGAACTTTTGCAAACCACACATATTGTTTCTGTTGAGCCTGTATCTTTTTCAGTTACAGGCCATTTTTGAAGTGTATCCAGCTGTAAGCTAACAAACCTCTCCCTCCCTGGCGTAACTGTTCCCTGTCACCAAGCAGCAGCTGCACAACACTGAGGCAGCCTGAAGGGTTCCCCTCCGGACCAAGGCCTCCCTCTCGCACAAGCTGCTCACTGGGGTCAGGCGCTCGGTTATTCCACTTGGTAAAACTGTGCCTGCTTCCCACAGTTTTAAGTTTTCAGTTACTCTTCTGCCTTACAGGGCCTGGCTGGGGCATTCAACTCTCAAATCTTTGCTTTTGGCAGCTGCACAGTTACTTGCTTTTTAAAAAAGCACTTGTTAGATGGACTGTAAGTGGTGAGCTGGGCATCTCAGGCTTACAAAGGCACAATTATCAGATTTGCCCATCTTGCAGCTTGTTTTCATTGGGTTTTTGTTTGGTAGAGATTCCAGGGTTGTTACCAATGGTGTGTCTGTGTGGTGTTGGATTTCCCTCTGTTCCAAGTTTTCATTTCCCCACTTCCAGATGAAAGGATTATACAAGCCAGCTAGCAGGAGCTCAAAGTACCCGGGTGCCTGTTGGGACTGCTGAGTTGGGCTCTCAATGGCTCCACTGATGTGCATCATCTGCAAACCTCTGCTTTGCCACGACTAACAGTTTCCAGTTTACCTGATGAATTCTGGAGTGGTTTCTGAGGAGCGCTACCTTAATTCATAGCCACCATGGGACTCTCCCCATGATCCTCTCCAATGGTCTTCCTACATACCCTACAAAGATGAGCCTGTTACAACTTCCTGCTCTTTGGTAATAACACCTGCTTGGTGTAACATTTGATGGCTCATGCTGATTACAAAAATAAAAACACCAGATGTGACTTGTTGCAAACAATTTATTAGGTAGTAATAAATACGAATGTAGCAGAAAGGACTATACAGCAATAAGGCATATTAATTGTATTGTTAAATAGGCAACTGACACACCGTCTTAACATTTTCCTCTAGTTTTCTAAGAAAGTGCTATGTAGAGAAATGTATTTCTGATACCAGTGCCAAGTGATAGCAGGGATGCACTATGAAGGATCCAACTGTTGCATTATTTACCTTAAATAAAATATAACAATCCATGAAGATTTACTGTTATTTAGGCCAGTGACTTTTAAGTAGAAAAGTATAGCTTGCTAAGAAGAATACAAAATATAAGTCTCCTGTTCACCTTTTTAACGGCTTACTACTTTAATTTCTTAAACTGCACTTACTAGTAGTAAGGTAAGAGTAAAGTTACTATACAATAGCACAGTTCTTCACATTCATTTTAACTTTTATTTCAAAACTGAGAGGCAAGTGCTAATTTTTATTTTTAAAAAAAAATTTTTTTACAAAATATTGCACACTATTTTAGCATGCAGTTTACATGGAAGAAATAGTCAAGTGCACTTAAAACCCTGAAATACAACCAGAAACTTTAACGATTTGTGTTACGGATTCTATTTTAATGTGCAAGGATATGTTTCAGACTGCATAGAATCCCACCTTACGCTTGGGACCCAACATGTTGAGCCCCAGTCCTGACTCTACAAAGAGCAGGCAGAATACTCAAAACTGTATCTGGCTTCCTTGCAATATAAATCTTCATTTCTGCATCCTGCACTGCTCACAGCCTCAAGAAACTGAAGTAAGCAATCAGTAGGAAAATTAGTTTAACAGAAATAATTTAGTACCTCCTATATGAGTTTTTGCTACTGCATATGTGTTGCAATCCAGGGTAGGATTCATTTTAACTTTCTGAAGTCCTCTGAGTAAGGTTCATTTGTAAATCCGTATCTCCCTCTCCTCCATATACACATTTTATATTGCACAGTAAAAGTAAAAATCCATTTTAAAAAACAAGCATGCTAAACATTCAATATGGCTTCTGAATGATTTAGAGTATTTCCCTTTTGGCATCCTCATGCAACATTTTAGAATAAATATGAATACAAAGTATGAGAAAGTTAAGAGTAAAAATAAAGCAAGCAAAAATGTTTGCCAGAAACCAAACAAAAACCAAGAGTTTATCAAAAGTACTTGCTCAAAGGTCTAACTGGTCTTTTAAGCATATTTATCGACATATCTTAAAAATTAAGTGTGTCTACAAAATACTGTAACATATACCATACTTCCTTGATGTTCCACAGAATGACATGAAAGGTAAATAGGTTAACTGACACTTGCTTAATGGCACTGATAGTCCCATAGTCCTCTGGGAACAAAAGCTTTACAGGATTCATACTCGTCCAGCTCGGTAAACCATTTACATTTCATTAGCTTTACTGGTTAAGCTAAAGCCCTACAATAGTTTATATATGAAACACAAAAATATTTATAAAAATAATAGATATGTTGTATAGTTTTTTAAAAAAATAAACCATGCAGCTTCTGTACAAAGTTAAAAAACTGTACAAATTGACTTTTCTACTGTGTAAAACTCATGTACATGGAAGTCTTCTGTTACGATGAGACACAAGTTGTTTTTTGCTTAGCCATCAGACGCCACTTCGTAACTATTGTTCCCTTCGATCATTCATTTCTTTCAGCTGGCATTAACTGGCCATTTAATTTCATCAGAAGTTTAACCACGAGACCTGCCTATGTAAAGGTATCCAATTAAATTCTATCAGCATTTCAGAACTAATGACAATCAAGAATACGACAAATGCAATTCTCAGTCTCTGCTAGTTTCAATCGCAAAGTTACCGTCTCCAGCCCTGTAGTTCTCACTATATTTGGAATATCCTTAGAGTATGAGGGATTGGGCACATGCAACAAACAGTTTCAATTAAAAAAAGTTTACCCTAGTGATTACAGATGGATTTTATGTATTTTGAATTCTGAAGCCTTCACATGCTAGGAAAACAAGCAAACATTCTGAAATATTAATATGAAAGTTTTAAAATAATTTCTGCGGGGGCTTGGCTTGGGCTTCTTTTATACTGTGCAAGGGTGGTCAACCTCCAGAGAGAACAGGGACGCAACTAACTTAGGAAAAAAATAATTGAACATGAAGGATAAAAAATAATAATGCTTACCTGTTTGGTATGCACAATAAAGCTCATTTTGTTTTCCAGACTGTGGATCTGGAAACATGTATCTCCATCTCCCAACTGCCACATAAAGCAACCGTACTTTAGACTGAGGAGTAAAGCCTACAATGAAATGTAGGAAACTGTCACTCAGAAAATATCCTCCATACCTACAGACTGAACTTTTCTTTGTTCACTTAGACAGGATTCAGACTTAAAAGAAGCACATTCCACAATGTAGTTGTAGTTTATAAAGTAGTAAAGGTGATACAAGACTTTGTTAGTAGTGACTTTAAAAGATCTTAAAATCTTGGAAATTTTCAGTCAAGTTTAACTAAACAGCTGGATGTGAAATTACTTCTAGTACAAAATTTTAAGAGAACAGAATTTAGTTTAATAGTTATCACTGGCAGTACATTTAAGCTGACCTTTGTTTCCATATTGAGGAGGTGCAGCCCTTTTACATTTACTCCTACATACACTTTGATGACTTTATGGCTACTTGAACTTGCTTTGGTGAATATCTGTCCTGTGAAAAAAGCTGCTCCATAAGTAGGAATTTCCCAGCAATTCTGCAAGAACATGCGCTGAAGGTGATGCATCTCCTTACTGACACCTTCACTGGTGCTGAGATTCTAGAAATAAAGGAACAATGGCAATCAACAAGTCTTCTCAAGCATTTGTGGTTACTTGAAGAAAGCCCCCTGTTTAGTGCAATTCCCACTAAACATATTTCCAAAGTGCTTCCCCCGCAACCATCTTTCCACAGTTAAATTAAACCTCAGAGCCACAGAAAGGCTCAAATGCTAGAAGAGACTGAGACAAAATCCCAATACCTGTATAAGCCTCAGAAATCTAAACACAAACACGTAACCTCTGAACAGCCCCACAGTTTTGCCTTTCTCAGAAGTAACCTGGACTTGGGATAAGCATCTGTGCACCCATCTGACACTAAATGCATCACAATCCTTAAAACTAGGCATTCTTCCTCCTTTAAGGGGTCTAATCTCCCCAAAAACATGGATTTTTTTTGTTTGTTTGTTTTCTAAGCAAAACAGGGGTGAAGATCTCTTTTCATTA